CAAACTGTACGTCTCGTTCTCTGTGTCTGCCTTGACGCAGCTAGTCACGGGAGCAGATATTAGTCTCGTCTGGGCACCAGTCGTTAGAAGCCGTCCCAAGCTCTTTATTCCGCGCTGTGCAACAATCCTCGCTGAGGCGGTGACCCACGGGCCGAACATCTTGTGCCACAGCACGGCCTTGAGTCGGGACACAGCGTATAGTCCGGAGGGGTGTACATCGGTCCTCTGGTCCGGTCTAATACTCTCTTGCACGCGGACTATCACTCGCCTATGCCCGAAGCCTGGTTGCCAGGATCCTGGCTACCGGCTTTCCAACGAACGAGGCATACTCTGACGTTCACAATCGTCCCAATCAACCTCAGCTTGGAGAGTAGTCTTGTCCCAGTTCGTCTTGCCAGTGTCCCACGGCGTTCTTGTCTTGAAAACTGCTCCAATTTACGTACAAAGGCGCAATACCGATATTCCTGTGTTGATGATGAGATATGACACAATCTCTCACCATGGACTCTTTTCTACCTCCATGCTCTCACTAAGTTCCTAGCGTGTTGCTTGTGTCCAGGATAGTTGTACAATGCACGCTCCACAACCAGGCATGTAACGGAAAGATTTCAAAAATAATGACCCGAGCGTTGATTGGCCCTCTTTTCAAACCCCAACAAAGAGAAATGCATGCAATTGGCTGGTCTGGTTTACAGGTCACCGCAGGAATAATGATATACAAAGAGTTGTGAAATGTCCTGCTTGTCTATTATGTAAAAGTTGCACGCACACTAATAAAAAAACATAGGCTATAAAATAGTCTGGAATGTTATCATCAACACATAATTTGCAGTTTACCCGTGTAATGTTTTCAACTTCGTGTTCTTAAAGTATAAAAATTTAATATAACCAAGGAAGTTAAACCTCTCTTATATAAAAACAAACAAACAAGGTAAATAAGACATAGGCGCCGTCTCGTCTCTGACCATGACACTACAATACACATCTTACAACAATGTACAAGTAAACTATGCATCTTTTGCCTCTTCCAAAAAATTATTTTTACACTAAAGTGGGCTGATATTTGAAAAAACACCAGAGCGGTCCCTCTCATTACCAAAGAAAACGACCATGTTTCCAAAGGTGAAATATGTCAAGGTCGAAGGTTCCCAATAGACTAGTTTGGTAAAATTCTGATCAGTAATTGTGTTGTTGTTTTTGCCCACTGTAGATTCAATATGGTGCCGGTATAATGAGGCGTTAATATATGCGGGGAGACGATGGACCACACGAAGAAATCTACTCATTGTTCATAGCAAGGGTTATAGTTACAAATATATACAGGGATACACTTAGACCCCATTCATACCAAGGACGTTATATCATAACCTAGTTGAAGCTCCATGTTCATATAAAATCCTTGTTCATACCAAGCTTTATATATCCTTCTAGATTCTTTAGCAGAGTTTATATAAGCCTGGCGTGGCCCAAAAGTCAACCAGACTCTGGCGAGGGCGAGTTTATAGCAGACATCGGCCCCCAAACAACATTTATTCTATTCACCAACTTTTAATGTAACGCTGATTTCCTCTACCATCCAATCTAGATGTCTTGTCTTTGTGTTGCGTTGCCTGTTACCTACAACGTTTTTAGGTAGTAATTCGGTTCATGGAACGAACTCATGTTTAGGTAGATTTCGGGAGTGAAAATAATATTGTTTTCTAACCAGCATTTTGCCCGTTCTTCTTACCGGCTTTGAAAACACATGTGCACCTCTCAATTTACGCATTTACGAAACGATCTACATGTATGGTGACCCCTTATTGTTTGGCAGTACTTGCGACGTGTGACGTGTGCAGGCCCGTATATTCCCGTACACACGACTAATTACCAGGTTTCCGGGCATGTCCGGAGGAATCACAGACCCGCACACGCCGTGGCCGACATTTCCTGCACACACCCGGACACACCCGGGCACGCCAAGTTTCACGGGACATGTACA